TCCCTGATGAAATTCCAAACTCTCCAGATATGTCAAATTAGTATGCCAAGTGCTCACTCTTCTGATCACTTGTCCAATAGTCTTCTTCGAAAGAGGATTACAACAGATACCCTGATCTTTTGTCTTTTTGCGTTTTCCTCGTTTAAAGCCAGTCACCCTCATGGCAGTTCATAGCAATGTGTTCGGTTATCTTTTAACTTTCCATATCTATGATTTTGTCGAGTCAATGGTGTTCTTTAATACTTGTGCTGATCTCCTCACCCATTTCTCCAATTTACTTCAGTTCATGGTCCTTGTAGATTATGCCGTAAAGTCGCGAGCCCTACATTCTGTTGATAAATTTTGTTTGTTCAGGCAAGTTCTTAAAAAGTTTTATCTTTTATTTAAAGATTGTATGAATGTTCCATTTACTTCGCAACAGTCGCAACTTCCGGGTCAGTCCCCAAGAGGGAAGAAGTATAAATCATTTTTCACTATTTTTTAATCGGCTCATTTCATTTCAAAGTGTAACATTTAATCATTCCTTAAGGGTTGCCACGGTTTATAGTGTGTTTGACACGGAAGATAGATCCAATACCTTCAATCTCTACTTTTTAGGATCTGTGAAATTAATCCTTCTGGATTACTTGGCTTTAGGCTGACCATAAATACAAAAAAAATTTCAATTGTTTCATTGACAGAATTTAATTGGAGCATTTTTCTTCTTAATGCTCCTCATAGTTATATTTAAGCAAACCAAAAATGCAACCTATTTCCTATCGCTAACTGGCTCATAGATGCAGGCCTCTCGAAAGTATGAAGATAATATCCTGATGTTTCATAATTACAACCTTATTTACTCAGAAGTGGGTTGACCTCCTTGTTGCAACTTGGCCTTGTTGTCAGGGCGACTTAGTTGGATGCAAATTGCCCGAAATCTTCTGCCCTAGTAGTTGTCATTATTCCCAGAGTCAGCTCGTGGACTTGGTACTTTGTCAGACGTTTATTTGGCATCATAGTCGACGCAAAGTTCATGGTCTGATGCTGAGAATTATGATAAATATTTTGACGTAGGACTTCGGACAAGGTGAGTTCAACTAAGTCACCCTGACAACAAGACCAAGTTGCGAATATGAGGTCAAACTACTTCTGTTCATCGAAAGGAGACTGTGACCATATCGGGGGCCACACCGTCTTGGTCTTCATATCTTCGTTTATTCATTCAGTTTGAATGAATGTTCCTGCTGCCTTTGAATTGGTGGGCTTTCTATCTTTCTCAGGCCAAATTCATCAACAACAACATTTAACGCAGATTGTAAATATGTCTAGCATTTTTACATAATATTTTCCTTTATAATTAAAATCAGCTCCACTGAAAATTCCGGAGACGTGTGTCCATTTGGGGCGGAACCAGAGATGGATGAGAGTGGCTTCGAGCTGGATGAATCATCATTTCCAAATTGTGATGAAGTGGATCTTTCTGTCTCCCCAACCCACCAAGAATCCGTAATAGAATCTTCTTCTTCCACACGCACAAAAATACCAACCCTTTCTAAACGAAGTGACCCCAACTCAGTGGATTCACACTTGGAAATCGCTTCTTCCAATCGTCTACCACCCATCAAGAGTAGAAGGTATGAATCGGGAAGAAAAAAAATTGTTAATTCGTCTTGCGTTTATATTCAAATCACCAACATATTTGTGGCAATATAATATTTTTCAAACACCTGATTTACTTAAATGTGTAAAGTGATGACAAAATAGTCTCTGTAGGGATTTATTTTTTTATTTTTTTTATTTTAATGAATATGTACGAAGAAAATTCTTCTGCCAAGCTTTTAAAAGCACAGGGTACCAGGATCATCTTTTATAAAAGCCAAATCTCTTCTGGTTATATATTTTAGGTTCTTTCAATTCATTGGACTATTGAGGAGAGAGAGATCATGGTGGTCTGGATGGGATAGAAGAATGCAACTTCCTTGATATGTTGCTTAGTTAATATGTGATAGGAGTCGTAAGTTCCGGATAACTTAGGTAGATCTTCTATGGGTTGCTAAGGCGTTCCTTCTAGATGCCTAGGGTGGTCACAAGAAATGAAATAAAATACCTCACAATATATCAGAAAAAGGAGTTGGCTCACCCAAGTCAGCCCAAATCAGATTGCATATTTGGGTCCACTACATTTTCATCATTTGCTCAAATATATTCTTGAAAGGTAGCTGAACAGCTGGATTTCATATAGCTTGTGCGTGTGCTGGATTGGCACTGAGGAATTCTTCAGAAACTTTATAGGAATATTACTAAAAAGGTTGCTGCTGCTATATCTTTTGAGTAAAGTACCAAAATGGACGTGAGCGGAAAGCAAAATGACCAGATTTTGTGGTTTAATCATCTAACTTTTATTAATATAAGCGTAAAGGAGGATGAGGAATGAAAGCTTAATCAGCGAACAGTTTGCGAACCTTTTCTGAAGAAAGGAGTCGATCAGAATTGGATAAGATATCACATTAAATATTTAGACTAGTAATGAAGTTTGCGAGCTAAATGCATTAGTGGAAAATGAAAAGTTGGATACTCTAAATCCCTTTAATAATTTTTATTTGTGGAGCAATTTGCAAGTAGGGTATGTTTCCATTTTGTGGCTGGATGATAGATATTTCCTCGGTTAGAAATTGCGATACTTTATAGTTTCCTGTAGAGTTCAAAAAATTATTTTGTTCCTTATCCCTTTTTTGAGAGAGTGCTTTATTTTAGTGTATTGTAGTGTAATTATTCTTTTAGTAACTACTCATATTTACTTATATTTGCCCGTATTTATTTAAATTATTTTCTGGTTTGACAGGTTGAGAGGATCAGTGACGAGATTTATACGAATTATTTTTTACCAACAGTGATATTGGAATTCTTGGCAACGGTATATATAGATTTTTTATCATTAGGATGAATTTCTTTATTTATTGCATTAAAAAATTTGTCCTCGTAGGTAGCTTATGGAGATTAAAGAAATGATACTTGAGTTTTTCCCACAATGAGAGAAGTAGTTCTCACGAAGCCAATTAATTTCGTATTTCCCTGCCTACAAAAACGTTTATCTCATCCAGGCTGGAATAGAAGATAGTCTCGACTCCCCACGTCTGTACCTAAGACGGGATTCGATATCGGGTTGTGCATATCGTGGCGGCATTACCACTTCTTTAGACAATCACTACTCCTACAGGGTCAGAGGGCAGATGCGACTTTCAAGGTAGACCAAACTTCACTTAAATCACATCGTGAGGGCTAATCATTTGATTTTGGGAAAACTCAATCCACTAAGTGTCTAGAAATTTACTTGCATTGAAGATAATTAATTTTAATATTATGATTTTTTTCACTCAGCCTTTGTTGGGATCGAATTTATTAATTTTTTTACTCATGCATCTTATGTCGTTGATTCAAATGAAATTACAAACTAATTAGTTAAATAATGAATTAATTGATCAGTATAGTAATCACTGTCTCGAAAGCCCACAATTTTCATTTTATATAGGACCCATTCTAGAAAATGTTTTCGCTTTTGGCCAAAATCATGGCAATTGATGGATTAAAATATGATACTGCCGTCAAGACGCATTTC